CCTCTCCGTCATAAATCTTGCTGCCCTATTCCTATTCCAGTGGCAGTGAGAAAGCGGAGCCTCAGCTCCGGGCTCCCTGCACTGCGCTCTCTATGCCCAACTTGACAGCTCACATTCTCCCCCCGAGGCCGAATCCCCTTTCTCCCGGTGCCTCACCAATTTCGATCGACGGCGCAAGGCGGCCGGCCGGAACCCAGTCGAGTCGAGCTCCTCCCGGCGCGGCCTTCAGCAGTGCGCGGCGCTCCAGCTCGTCTTCACCGTCCAGCCCGAAGAACATACAGGTATGGATAAAATCGTGTTGATCTCAACACATCCATGGCCGTAGCCCTTGCTTACTTTGCAGATCAGCGGATCTGAACCCCAACAAAAATAGCAGGACAGGAAAATTAGTCCGCTGAGGTGAAATGCCTGCAGCTTGTGATCTCCAACTCGCATTTCCTTTAGGTGCCATGCCAGGCTGAGTGTTGCAGAGTGATTTTCAGAAACAGAGCTGCCAGAATGTTCAGAAACCGCTGCTTTGCCTCCCGCAATACTACCTATAATCTCCTCCTACATTTGCCTAGAAATATGGCATTTGGCATAAATCACATTAGCATTCATTTTCCTCTCCCATATGTACCATCAAAAATTTAAATAGGCATACGAGTGTGGCTACAATTTCATTTGAGTCTCCCATAGAGTTGCTGCAAATTTAGGATGTCAGTGAGCACTCAGCAAGCCTTGTGAATAAGACGAAAAGTCAGCTTCCACCTCCAACCTTGCCCGTCTAAGTTATCTTTGCAAGTAACTGGACCTTTTCATGTGTAGGGTTTGCAAACTCGATCTCAGTTTACAAGAATATAAAGGAAGCTTTTTGACATAACCAGAATGAGCACACATAACATCGTTTTCGTTCAGCCATAGTTTCCTGCCATCGTTTTCGTTTCTGTTTATTGACAAAATTTCTTATCCAAGAAGCTTGGGTTTGTATTTTCTCTTTTGTTGTATAGTGGTTTTGTCCCTTTGATCTGTTTTTTTTTATGGTGGTATCTAGCTTGCCTATTATGTTTGTACTCTCACAGTAGCAATGTCATGTGCAAGATCTGAAGTGTTGTTGTCGGCTTTTCTCGTAGGAAAACTAGTATTTTGTTTCTGTACAATGTCGTTGGCTTATAATTGATAGCAATTTCTATTTTTTGTTGTTGCTTTCGTGTGCAGGATCTGAAGTATCAACCTCTTTAATATTCCTTCTCCCGGCAGCAGCACACTTCGTCGGTTTTGTCCCGCTCGGCACTCTCCTCCCAGGCTCCCACCTAGTGGTCAGCTCTTCTCGAATGTTGTTGGCCATGCTTTTGCTATTACTTATTTTCTTTTACCTAGCTTGTAGTGATTTTCCTCTCTAATGAAAGGTCTATAAGCTGTATGGTTTGATATTACATTTGTGTCTTGCGAATACGACAATAATCAATAAAGAGTAAAAATGCTACTCATATATCTAGTGCTAACCACACTTGAATAGACATTAATTTCTTTTAGCAAGAAAATTTCAATTTTCAAACTTCAATCTTTTGTGACCACATTAACTTCAATCTTTTAGCAAGATTGAAGGAACATTCCATGGTTGATGATGAAGCTGGTTTGCGAGGGTCTTGACTTGGAAAATGGTGCTAATTATGAATTTGTATCTATGGTTTAATATACTCATTTATAACTCCGAAGTGTCCTTCAATTTTGACATTTTGTAGTTCTAAAAAGGAAATCTGACATTTTATTTTATTTTGAAGTGTGTTTAAACCCTGGTTAAGAACTTGTAGTGATGTATTTGTGTTTATTCATGTAAAATGCTTTTTCAAATTCTATGTGAAATAGATGGTTTTGAAATTCTGTTCACTGATGTATGTGGAAAACCAGTGCCAGTTTGATTCTGTGATGTAATCTGATTACTAAAAGCAAATGCTCCTGTTACACCACGATCCCACCGCTACCTGATTCCATTACCAGTCCCGTTACCTTGTGTTGTACCAAACACCTCCAAAGTGTTGCTATGTTGCGCACTCCGTACTTCCAATCAACAATATGCTTTGCAGATGCATTATGCTTTCAATCACTTGCTTTGCACTTCGCTTCAGCAGACTAATCCTACTCAACTATGACTTCCCTGCAGTTTGCCGGTGGAAAACCAAAGATGAAGCAGAGCAGCCTCGCGTGCGCGGCCATCGGTCTGCTCGTCGCGTTCGGATGGCTCGCAGCTGCTGGAGACTGCAGTCTTTCCCTCAAGTTCTGCGTCATGAGGGATTGCAAGACCAAAGGTGAGTTTTGGAAGTGGAAACCGGACTGCTTCTGCTGCGTCGTGCAGCCGGGCGTTCCGTGCTGGCACACGGTTAAGGAGTGCCAGGCAAATTGCCGGGCCTGCAGCCCCAAGTGCTAGCTAGGAGTTACATGTGTGATCATGTGTGTGTCTATGTCCAATGTTAGGAAAACCTGATGCTACGCCCTGTTTGCTGTTGCAACCCCTGTCTACGTGTGGTACTACGCCTGTTTGCTGCTGTACTGAGGTGCGAGGCTGGGTTTTGTGAGTTCCAATCTGCTTTGGTTTTGCCACACCCAAAGATGTATCATCTGTTTCCAAATGATAGATCTGAACTGCCCGGACTGCCGCACTACGGTGCCATATAGTCTGCCTCCAAGAGTCGAAGATGGAGAACGTCGACCCCTTTACGGCTGCTCGCCTTGGCGGATGAGACCCTTGCTGCCATATAGTCTGCCTCCAAGGTTGTATTCCTGTGGATGATCTGGAGCTCAAGGAGAAAAGTTCTTCACAAGGACATATACCAGACGCCGTTTGCTACTAATGCTTTCATCAACTCATTCATAGATGACTTACAGGCGATGAAGAAGCCATAAGTAGTGAGAGGGCCAAGCATCCTGCTAGGCAGAGCGGATGGGTTGCTCCACCGGAGAATATGAAGAAAATTAATGTTGATGCCGCCCTTGGAATGCTTCGGTGGGAGCTGTGGCCGCTGTGTGCAGGGATTTTCATGGAAATTACATGGGAGCTTCAACGATCACTTTTGTGGGAATCTTTGACCCAACCACACTAGATGCCCTTGTAGTTCGAGAAGCACAGGCTTTGGCCGATGATCTCTATGAGCGGAGAATCTATATTGCTTCATATTGCAAAGCTGTCATCAACGACATCAAGCAGAGAAGTGCGGCAAGTCATGGTGCGATTATTCAAGAAATTATAGATCGTTCTAGTCTTTTTACTAGTTGCTTTTTTAGTCATGAGTATTAGGAACTCGAATATCGGTGTTGGCCGTCATGTTTGGTTGGGCAACCCGGGAGATCTTACTTTCATCCATGTAAACATTGTGATGAGTTAAATAAAAGCTTCATGAGATTTTCTCAAGAAAAAAAACACAGAACAGGATTTGCCCTCGACATCGTTCAACATTTGAATGCCAATTTAACAGAGGTGAGTGTTTCCAATCACTCGAAACATGATACTAGTAATTAGGGAAAACGGAAAAAAAGAAACAGAATTTTTTCAAGCAACTGGGTAAACTGCAGGACAGTGGCTTCATTCAAGCAACTGAGACGCGATTGCAAGTTTGCACAGGACAATCCTTAGTTCGCAGAAATGTCTTCTTCTTGGCATCTTTCGTTTTCGCATGATATGGGTAGGTGGGTCACTCTGATGGCTGAATGGGCTTTCGGAGCCGCGGGCTCCTTCTCGGCTGGGGAGGTACTGATGCCATGGCGGCTGGAGTTGACGTCGTCGCGGCGCTGGTGGTGACACTCTTCTTTGGAATTGGAGGCAAGAGCACACTGCTTAGGGCATTGCGAGTATCCAGTGAAGCTCTTAGTAGCTTCAAAACCTGTTGCCAGAAAAAACAGCTGTTAAGAACATACAAAACTGGAAAAGGGGAGAAAACGATGTACTACTTTTCTTGCCTTGTTGACTTACCTGGGTTTTGTCAAGTGTTATCTCTTTCTCCACAAGCTCGCCCTTGGGAATCTTGGCTGCATGTATGGCTTGGAGACTCTTGGCCAGGGAGAAATCGACGATACGAAGATCATCAGTCACGATGAAGTTGATGGACCCTCCATTGACATAAGCCCTATAAGAAGCTTCATCTCCTCTTTTGGGGGATTTCGGATTCATCTCGTAAAGATACCTTGGAAAGTTATGGCATCTCCGAGGTAATTCTTCTACTTGGAGCACATTACTGCTGCACCCAAAGAAAGGGGCCAGCTTTGGGGATAGGAGTAAGCTTCTGCAGTCTTGTTTTACTCATCCTGCTCCATTTACACTTTTGTAGAGATTATCAAGACATCTATTTGGTGACAGTCGACTATAAGTCTTCATTATAGACCCAACAGGAATGCAAAGGAGGCCAAACAAAAGATCAACCAAGTCTTGTTTAACTTCCGCGTACAACACCGAGGAATTATCCTTCTTCTGAACAAGCTTTATCGTTATTGGTTTGAACTTGGGCTCAGCCTCAATTGCTTGTGGTGCGAACAGATTGTGAGGAAGCTGGGAAGAACTCACCCCATTGGGCGTTATAGCAGCATTGAAATATAGGCCAGTCAAAGGGTGCTTAGACAGCAGTGCTCTCCTAAGCAAGCCAATCATCTGGAAGGAATACAATGTAACTGTAAATGATAGGGGGGGGGGGGGATCCCAATTTGCACTACAGAAGTATAGATCAATGTTTTAAATAGCGGACTGTCAGCTATAGCAGGGCTATATCTTTATTTTAGAACTTTTTCGAACAATTGTGCATGAATCCTATAGTTGGTCATTTAAAACTTTTGTACAGAACTACAGATACATCAAGATTCTAAACAAATTGGTGAAATTCAAATTATAAAATCTAATAAAAACGAAGCTAGAAAGACAGACCTTATTGGAATTGAGATGTAGCACCTCCTCCTTGATATTCAATTGTTCATGCAGCCCAAGCTTGTCCATCAGGGAGAACATGAGACTCGTAGAGGAAGGAGCAACATGAAGATCATCCGTGATGATGAACTTCGATCCACCTTTGGAAAAAAATCCCATCCGCAGTTTCTCCAGCAGCAACGAGAGAGCTTTGTGGCCACCTCCTAGTGTCACTAATGGTACTAGTACCACACCTGCATCGAATACCCCGTACTGTGCTGAAGTACCTTTCGCTGCAGCTCCCATAATAAAAGCAGACATATATTGCCGTCAGATCGGCGTCGTCAACTTTGACTCTAAGCCGGTCGCAGTGAAGTGCCGCGGCATTGACGGGACGAAGGAGCATGGCCTTGCACTCCTTGGTTTGGAAGTGATCTTCGCCGAGACTCTCCACGCTCCTGTACAGCTCGTCCAGGCACCCGATCTGAGACTGCTTGTTGAAGAGACGGACGATGGTGCCGAGAGGCAGCGTGAGGAAGCTGAAGAGGATGTCCACGAAGTCCTTGTCGGATTCGGCGAACAGCACCCTCTTCTTCTCCTTGTCAATGAACAGCTTCACGGCGACCGTTGGTCCGCCATTGCTCGACATGGCGTATGCAATGTGCTACAACTTCTGAAACTAAACTGATGCGCAGTTTAACTTTAGAGGATGCTTATGCAGCCCTTAAATATCCACCAAGGCCTGTTGAAGTGGCACGGTTTAATGGTCTCAAGGGTCTACACCAAGAGTCTTCGTACTGGAACGCTAGTATAAATGCTATAGTAATCTTTACTTTTCCCAACAGCAAGATGGTTGAGCTTCCCCGTACTAATTTATCAGACTTGAAGTGACAGGATTATAACGAGTCATGCAGAGGCCGTCTGTCTCCTTGTGTTTGTATTCTTTTTTTTTTTTTTGCTTTATTTTGAGCCAATAAAATTCATTCTTTGTCGAAAGAAAACTTAGGTGGTAGTTTCAGATTTTTTTAAGAAAAAAAAAGCTTCTCATGTTCTATGTACTTCCCCCGTCTTATATAATATAATGTGTAATATATTTTTCTTCAAATCCAAACTTTCTAAATTATGACCAAGTTTGTATAAAATCTTTCAACATCTAAAATATCAAAACAATACCATTAGATTCACCCTAAACTACATTCTTTTGAAAAGGCCGAAGACCATATACTGAAATTATAGCCAAGTCCTTAAAGAAATCATAATCGTCTTCCTTCTGCACCCACTGATGGTGCGCCATAAGCAAAGCTATAAAGGTCTTTGTCTTACCGGAGCAACCTTGTTGAAACACAGAAGTTTGTAGAAGCAACAGCCGAGAAGTCATCATGTAGACCAAAAGATGCTGGCAACTACATATATCCGGTATTGTATGTATAAATGATTTTCTCTATTAACTTGATCACAGTTTATGTCATCTCACCTCCTGACAGGGGCAATGCAGTTCTACTAGTGTGGTAAGAGGAGTATTTAACAAAAAAACTACCACAATTCATGAAAACGTGCTCAGAAACTACCACTTTACAAATTTGTGCCGAAAACTACCACTTTTTCTCTAATCTTTAACTAAAAACTACCAAGTATGTAAATCGACCCGTTCGTCCATTTTAAACGCCCTTATGACAGGCATTGCCCGCATGTAAGTGCTGGCATCGTTAGTCAACGCCGTTTGTACCTGCTGCTGCTCGCCCGTTCCGCCGCGCGCCGCGTCGCCGCTCGCCGCGCCCGCCGGTCGCACGCTGGACACAGCGAGGGTCAACGCGCGCGGCTGTGCGTTCGCTTGCACGCACGCGAGAAGCAGGGCTGCGGAGGCGTGGGCCGTGGGACTTGCAGCGGCAGTAGCAGAACATGGCAGCAGGGCGCCTGAGCTCCTCGAGGTAGCCGAGGGTGGCAAACGCGCGGATCCGGGCGGCCTGGGGGTCGAGGTCATCGCGGGCGGGGTCGCTGGAGCTAAGCGGTCGAAGCTTCGGGCCATCCATGGCGTTTTCCTGTAGCAGCAGAGGATGAGAGAGGTGAGGAGAAGGGGCCACGCGAGCGAGAAAGAAGCAGATGGGTTGGAAGGCAGAAAGGAAGAGCAGGCCAGCGGGGCTCCTCTGCTTGGTTACCTGAGGCAAGGTGCTCCGGGGGCGAGCAGGAGGAGGCCGGATCGAGGGCGGTTCTGGCGTCGGGTCTCCGTTCGTCTCCTAGCAGAGAAGAAACGAAGAAGGGAGAGAGATTAGAGCAGGGGAGGGAGAAGAAATCAGTGGAGGAAAGGCGTCGTGCGGGCCTGGCTGGGGTCACCGATGGAGCTCGCTCCAGCGGCTCGGCTCGCCGCGAAGGCTGCCGCCACTGCCGCCGTGCAGTGCGAGGCAGAGCCGGCCCGGAGCTGGTTCACCCGACGCTCGTGCTGGGGTCCGACGTGGTGTAAAGCGAGCAGGCTGCCGGAACTCCTCTGCTTTCGTCCTATGCACAAGAGGTGTTTGTTGAAATGTCAAAGAGAGAGAAGAGGGGAGGAAGAAGAAGGTTGATGATGACGTGTGGGTCCCACCTGCCATAACGGTTAATTTAACGGTCAAAATAAACAGAGTTGACTTTGCCGCCACGTCATCCCTGACTTGTGGGCCCATCCTGTCAGAAAGGCGTTTAGAAGAGGCAAATCGGGCACTTTTGCGACATGGTAGTTTTTAGTCAAAGATTGGTCAAAAATTGGTAGTTTTCGGCATAAATTTGTAAAGTGATAGTTTCTGGACACGTTTTCATGAATTGTGATAGTTTTTGGTTAAATACTCGTGGTAAGAGATAAGCAGGCAAGCATAGAAATTCTTTCTATTTCGCAATTACATGCAAAAGGGCAAAAGCTCCTTCACATAAGAATATACTAAGTGGAGAAGGCCTGAAGTAATGTTTGGAGTTATAAGTCACAACTGACCAAGGGCACCAAAGATCTTACCATAGTGGAATGCAAAATTAGCAGGCACCAAGGGATGAAATACGTTGCCATAGTGAAATGTCTTAGGGATCACAGTCAGGAAGAAGCTAATAATCTCCAACGCCCACCAGGCCATAGTTTGTACCATACTTCATATAGTTTGTACATATATATAAAAAAAAAAAACACTTGTCCGCAGAAACTAGGCTCGGCTGAGAACCCCAGCTACCGAAAAGGGGTCCTGGAAAGAAAAATCTGCTCCGGTTTTGAAGTTCCAGACCTCACCTCCGGCGGGACCGTTACTCCTGCGGACAAACATTTCGCAGGACTTACTTGCCATGTTTACGGAACTCTTCCTCACTTTGTAAAGCGCCTCGTCTTCCAAGGACGGTGTGAAGTTTGGATTGGCCATCACGACGGTTGCGGCCTTCAGCGCCCGTGCGCTCTGGAAGAAGAACTCGAGGAAGCCAAGCTCACTTGGCTCCCCTCTGAACTCACGGAGACTCATCACGCTGACACGCGAGAGTACGTTTTCGATGGGACCAGACTCCTCCCAGAACTTGACGGTGAGGTTACCGGTGGGTTGATCACATTCCTCGCTCTGCAGAAATTGATTAAACCAGTCGACAGATCTGAGGAAGGTGATATGACATGGTGAGTAAAGTAAGCCTCAAATTACATGTTATACATTATATTTGTGCATACCTAAATGTCAATGTCATGGAAGATCTGATATGTTGGGAGTAGGGCTGGAATTCAAGCCGAGTCGAGCCAGCTCGGCTTGACTCGCTAGAGCTCGTTTCATTAATGAGCTAGCTCGACTCGACTCGTTATTATTAACGAGCTTAAATTCAAGATTGGCTCGACTCGTATAACTTGCGAGCTGGCTCGTTTAGCTTGTTAAGCTCGTTAAAGATATAAATATAAAATCCTCAAATATTATAAAAATTATTATGTATATATTAAACAATAGTAATTTTCTTGTAACGCATGAGTCTTCTAGGCGGTTGGGCCTTCAATGGCTAGGCCTTGTGTTGTGCGCTTGGGACATAGGATGCTGAGTGGCTAATCTTTTTTTATATTGAGAGTGGCTGATCTTTTGTACCGAGCCTAACGAGTTACACGAGTACTCGTGAGATTGACTCGTTTAATTTGGTCTATAAACGATCTTAAACTAAAGCTCGGCTCGACTCGTTATTCTTCGAGTTCGAGTCGATTCGAGCCGAGTCACGAGCTACCCGTTTAGCTCACGAGTTTCGAGCTTTTTTTCCAGCCCTAGTTGAGAGAAACAAGAAATCAATGCTTCCATGCATCAAACTAGCACAAAGCAACAAGTAACCTACTAGAACAGAAAAAACAACTGTGCTGGTATATATGCAGCCCCTCATGTATTACAAATTAGAAAGTGAGGCAGCCGAGTACAATCTACAGTGGAGGTCTTGAGCATGTGAACGGTTTTGCCAAAAATATTCTTCAAGGCAGAATTCCAGAAGTGAGCCATGCCAACTACTTAAGGCTGGTCATAGTGGAGAGTAACTTAGACTAGTGTTACTAGTCTATGTTACTACCTTTATAGTGGGTAGTGTCATAGGTGTGGTGACATAGTTGCCTTCATTTATTACTTTGTAGACTCATTATGCATTGGAAACCGCTATGTGATGGTAACATATTATGTTACTCTATTTGTCTCTCTCCTCATTAACTACTTGTCACATCACCAATTTTGCTTATGTGGCATCTATGTTACTATCTATGTTACTCCCACTATGACCAGCCTAATAATTACTTAATTGGAGTCAAGTGCCTGATGTTGTGTCATTAATCCGGTAGCATCAATTTGGTATGATGACATACCGAATACCGTCCAGCCTCCAAGAAACTGTACGCAGGAAATGTGCTAGTTTATCAAGTGTAAGTTTAATCGGTTTGACATAAGCATTGCATGCCATTTGCATCATTCACAACACAAATACTGCTAGCTGAGATAAATTGTGGCAGAGGAAATTTGTCAAATGTAAGCAAAGCATGAATAAACTGAGATAAATTTGTATCATTCTCCAAGAAACTGTACACAATCCTTCGCAAAAAAAAAAAGAAACTGTACACAATAAGAAACACTAACGAGAAAATCTGGACATACCAGATATCAAAAAACAAGCAATACAATGCACAACAATAAACTGTGGCAGAGGAAAATTTCCAAAAACAAATGTCACAACACAAACAAATGAACATGCAACCACAATAATTCCAATTGCGTATTCTAGTCTGTGTGGGTAGAGACGACCTGATGGCTGAGAATAAATGGCAATGCTTGGCTGATTTAGCTGTATTGATCAAGTATGCCTAGTCACATTGCTTACCTTAATTTGTTATTCACGAGCAATTACTTAGCCTAGTATGCAGAACTGCATGTCTGCACACATATATGACTCGCATTTCACAATGGAAGAAAACGAAAAGACCATAAATAGTTCTAATAATAATTTACTTGACAGTTGACACATATATGCAAATAAGTCCGAAAACAGCAAATAATAATATCTGCTGCTAGATCGGAACAAATAATTTCAAGTAACATGTAAAGGAAATCGGTAAAAATGTAAGCAAAGCATGAATAAACTGAGATAAATTTGTCTGTAGCTTCCATTATCGAAAAAGACTTTCGCCCCGCTTTATATATAAAGCAC